AAAACTCAGTGCTAGGGAGATGTACACCTAAGACCCGCCCCCCCACCCGGGGCACCCCCAAACCTGCCCTCCCAGGGGCTGAGCCTAGAGCCAGGCACCCAGGGTCCTGCCCGTGCCTGGACCTACTGCACCCCCCAGATCAGACCTGAGGACCCCCCAAACCTCAGTGCTATGATGCCCCCATGTTGGCACCTGCAACCACCAGGGGGAACCAGACTCCGGGCAGAGCCCTGTAAGGGCTGATCCTAGAGGAGTGAGGGGAAGATCCTGAGAGGACCTGATCCTGGGGCATCCTATCCTTGGGGATGATGGGGAGTGGGAGAAAGAGGCATCAATCCTGTGGGGATTAATCCGAGGGGACCCCAGTCCAGGGTGCAGCCTGATGCAGGGGTCCTATCTTGCAGGGGGTCCTGATCCTGTCCCCTGCCCGGGGGGCTCATCTGGCCAGGAGGCAGACGCAGGCCACGACCACCTGGTAGGGCCGCGGCTCGAGGTAGAAGGCGCCAGTGCGGCCGGGGCAGGGCTGTCTGTAGTAGACGGTGAGGTTGACGTTCACAGGCATGGAGTTGCCCCCCAGGTCCTGGCGCTGGGGCTTCCGCAGCGAGACGCAGTGGCGACAGCGGCAGCGCGCCTGCAGCAGGCGCTGGGGGAAGCGTGCGGGGTCACAGTCCTCCCTGGGGGCACAAAGGAGGCCGTTATGAGCTGGGGGGCCACACCGGGGCTCAGAGAACCCCAAGGGCCCCTGGCCATGCCAGCCCTGGGGACAAAACCCCTCTGTTCCAGTCCAGGGCACCTGGGTGTCCTCCTCCCCCCCAAGAACCGCTGCAAGGCTCCGTGTCCAGTCCAGCCATCCCGCTGTGGGGACCCCAGTGCCCCCAGGGAGCCATGGGTTGGGGCGGGGGACAGGCACTCACCAGAAGTCCCAGGGGGCGATGGCCCGTGCGTTGAGGGGGCCGTTGGGGTTGGCATGGCAGGGACCCGGTAACCTGAGCCCTGGGCCAGGAGTAGTTGAGACATTGCAGGACAGGGGCCGCAGGGCCCGGGGCTGCCCGTAGCTGAGCTGGGCACCTGCCCCATCCACCTCGGCTTGGCCGCAGCAGTGCGAGGGGCTGAGGCAGTGCTGAGCCACGGCCACGGCCACGGCCTGTAGCATCAGGATAGCGGCCTGCAGGACAGACAGCGGTGAGGGTTGGGGATGGGTGGTGCACGAAGGCTGGGGTTACATGGGGACAATGGGGACTAAAGAGGTGGATGCATGCATGCATGGATGGGGGCAGGGGTTCGTGGCTACTCTGATGCACTTGCCCCATGGCATCAGGACCCCAGTGTCCCCAGCCCGGGCCCAGGAGGGAACTGGGCAGCCCAGGACAGGTCCAGTGCCCCCAGATTCTGCCTTACTGGGGGCCCAGTGAGGCAGGGGTTGGGAGAGACCTCAGGCATATGGGGTGGTCCCCTCCCCCATCCAGTGCAGCCCTTGCAGACAAGACAACCCAGGCATCTGGCCCCCCAGCGCCCACCCACAGCAGGGAGAGAACCCAGGCATCTGGGCTCTCCACCAGACCCCTCTCCCCTCCCAGAGGCCTGTAGAGAACCCAGGAGTCCTGGATCTTCTCCTTCTGCAATCCCAAACAAAGCAAGAACCCAGGCGTCCTGGCTTCCAGCCCCCCGCCCCTCTAACCCACCAGACCCCCACTCTCTGCCTAGAGCCAGGGCACCAGCAGAGCTGGGGTGGGGGTGATGGCAGGGGTCTGCAGTTCAGAATTGAGGGGCACCGGCAGGGCCAGGAGAGGACAGGGCTGCAAGTCCAGAGTGAGGGGTACCAGCAGGGTCTGGGGAGTGCAGGGGGTGCAGGTCAGGAGTGAGGGGCAACTGGCAGGGCTGAGAGGTTGTGGGTCAGGCGTGAGGAGCACCAGCAAGGCTTTGAATCAAGTACAACCCAGGTGTCCCGGCCCCAGCCTCCCTACCCCAGCCCGCCCCACCCCACTCCCAGAGCCAGGGAGAGGACCCAGGTGTCCTGAGACTTACCAGCTTCATTCCTGAGGGTCAGGTCCTGGCAGGGAGCAGTGAGTCTGGTGCTCTGATCATGCTGGAGCTGGGAGCCCTGGTTTTATGGATGAGGTATTTCCATCTTATCATCAAAATGCAAACTAACTGCAACCGCTTTTTCCTGGACACTCAGTGCTGACCTGGAGATTTTCCAAGCACCCACAACACGCCAATCCATCACAGGTCTTGGGAGTGAGGGGCTCCAGCTGGCCCTGAGTGGGGCAGGGGGCTGCAGGTCCAGAGTGAGGGGCACCAGTAGGGTGAGGGGGCTGCGGGTTGGGAGTGAGGGGTGCCAGCAGGGCTGGGAAGGGGGCAGCATGCAGGTTTCATAAATCACCACCTCCTGGAGTCCTAGGCTCCCTCAGCCTCTCTCCCTGGGCCTGTGGTTTTGGAAACAAGAGACCCCACCATGAATCCCAGTCCGCTCCTCCTCCCAGATGGGGGTGGGGTGGAGGGGAGTCCCAGGTATCCAGGCTCCCCAGGTCTATCTATAACCCCCTCTACAGCTATCCCAGAGCTGAGAAAAAACCCAGGTGTCCAGGACCCGCTGCCCCACGCCACCCACCATGCCCCTCCCAGGGCTGGGAGAGAACCCAGGAGTCCCCAGTGACCCTGCTCCCAGCTGGAATTCCCCTCCATCCCCTTCCTGCCCCAAGCAGGGGTGGGATCTGCCCCTGCCTCCCCACCCAGGTCCCACCAGGGAGCCCCTGGGCATGGGCAAGCAGCCAGCAGTGGGCACCAGGTGCAAGAACAGGACCAGTCTGGGGGTCAAGCTCAGGGCCCAGGGTGGAGGAGCCGTATCTAGGTGTTTCCGGGGAACCCGACTCCCACAGGCTTTTCCAACCCGGATGATTTGCATGAGGAGTCACCCACTGCGGTCAGGGACAGGCAAGCACAACAGGCCAGTCACCATGGCAACTAAACAAGGGGAGCCCCGGCCTGGAAAAGTTGGGGTGGAGAGAGTAGCAGGGGTCTGCGGGTTGGGAGTGAGGGGTACCAGTAGGACAGGGGGCGGTGGGTTGGAAGTGAGGGGCACTAGTAGAGCCAGGGGGGTAGGGGACTGTGGGTTGGGAGTGAGGGGCACTGGCAGGTGGGTGGTAGGAGTACGGGGATGTCGGGGAGTTTTGCTGACTC